ATATATATATATATATATATATATATATATATATATATATATATATATATATATATATATACATATCTATCTCTCTCTCTCTCTCTCTCTCTCTCTATATATATATATATATATATATATATATATATATATATATATATATATATATATATATATATATATATATATATATATATATATATATATATATATATATATATATATATATATATATTAGCCCATCCCATTTTGGCCCTCATGAACAAATTTTAATATGCGGAGTGTCACAAAATATTCCCAAGGTATTGTTTTCTTAATGAAATTTATTTATTTTTTATTTTAGATGACTACTTATATTCGCGCCACTCTTTTAAAGTTTAAAATTATTACATTTTTTGAGTTTTTACGGGCATTTTTAAACAATTGGTGTGAATAGAAATTTACAAATCTAGGTGACCTAACTAACAGTACGTATTGCACCTTCTAACATCATGTGCATTCCTGTCTGCTTACACTATCTTTCAACTCGACTACTTCTGTATTTCACTAACATATCTACGTTCTCCCAAATTCACTTTACTCTTGGTCCGTAGAGCGGGTTATGACGTAATGGACCTTGGTAATGTGGCCTATATGTGGCAATTAGCTGGAGGAGGATAAACCACAACACCAGTTTCTAATTTTAAAATTATTTACATTTAAACTTTTGAGAAGTGTAGAGATTATTATGAACTTGCGGAAAAAAATCAGACCATAAAGTAAAAATTTACAAATATGGAGCTGTTTCACACGCTTTGAATTTCATGAAATTCTAGTTTCATTTCTGTAAAATCAGACAGGTTTTTATTCTGAGTAATAAAATACTCAAAAAGATCAATAGAATGGCTGACTAAATTTCTTTCTCCAGGGAATCGTGGTTTTTGACCTGCGACTTTTCTGTTTCTGCAATTCTTCAAGTAAAACTTAATTTCACAAGTTTTGATATTTTAGTCTTATTATTTAAGGATAATGTGTCATAAAGTAACAAATTGTTTAAAGACAATGCAAAATGGTTCAAAATCAGATGCAAAATACAAAGAAAATAACTAATTTTTTTTTAAATGACAGACTTTCTAAAAATCCGTAGAAATAAAATAAAAATGAAATCAATAGAAATAGCACTTTGACTTTATCTTGTCAAAAATAAATGTAATAAGTATTTTGCAATGTCGTTTTAAACCTTATTTTATCTACATTGCATTATTTTTAATTTACACTTTTAAGACCAAAAAGACTATTGGCAGATGTATATTGAGCCTGCTGCAGATGTGAAATTCAAATCATGGTAAAACCTTAGAGGTGATTGGTACTGGTATTAGCATCTTTTGACCGAGATCACAATATAGAAATGGTAAAAAGTTCTGTATTCAAAAATAAAGGGAGGTCCGAAAAGGTGTAAAAACGGATAGAATCAAAGCTGAAATCCTTTTGAAAGTAGTTTTTGTTAATAAAGACCAGCCACTAGGTCTTGAGTTGTATATTTCACCAGACTACTAGGTAATTTTTGATTTTTTAAGTCATAGTTTGAAAAAATTGCTACGAATGAGACTCCCTCAGACTTTTTGGGTACAATGAATTCCAAAACTTTAAAAATCTTTCAAAGTTGCTGACAACTCATCAGAACTCACAGCAAAATTGTAAATCTATTAGGCATAGTCTAAGAAACTTATTTCAAAAACAAGAAATATTTTTCTTGTTTTTAAAAATAAATTGCAGGGTAGGATATTTATTTCTTAAAACAAGAAACATAATTCTTGTTTTAAGAAAAATATTTTGTAATAAAAAATTCAATTTTTCTGTGCTTACAGTAAAATTTATTCAAGATAATGTAGAGCATGTGATGAGCTTGGAGAAACTTCAGGCGCAACTTCAAATAAAGAGTTCTAGTAAAAAACCATTAAAAGAAGAAGAGTGGATTCAAGGAGCTAGCAACGGCGACTGCTTTCTGGCTTTCTCGTTATTGAATGGTTCTTATAAATTGAATTTTGATCCGATATCTAACTGCAAACTCTGAACCTTAAAAGTACATTTAAAATAATTTTTTTTTACATATTTTCTTGATATATTTGTCTTAAGCTGAAAATTTATATGTATAAAAATATTTATTGTACATTTGCAGCGTTTAAACGCCGGATACTGAAGCAAATTTGCTTCAGAAACAAGAGATCTGTGGCAGTGACGGATCCAGCATTTTTTGGTGTTTAAGATAGCTAACATGGTGCAAAATCCAAACATTTGTGTCTTTATACTTATGTTAAATAATAATGCTTTTTAAAAAGTTGCAATGATTAGAGGCTGGGAACAAAAAAAAACCTAAAATTTTATCCCCCTTGCCCCAAACATGAAAGCAACAAGTTAATGAAATAATTTATTTGCTATTCTTAACTAAATCTATATTCATTGATAAATTTTAAGTATTGTTTTACAGCCTCTAGGCGTTCAAAAATTATGACAAAATAAAATTTGTAAGCCCCTCAAATTGAGGGGGTTCAAACTTTGTATTGTTATAATTTATGAACTCTGTGAGATATTACTGTGAAACTTAAAATTTATCAATGAATATAAACAAAATTAAGTATTTCAAAAAAATTATTTTACCAACTTGTTGCTCTCACGTTTGGGGCAGAGGAATGAAACTTTAGGGCTTTTTTAGCTTCCAGGCTCCAATCATTGGAATATTTTGCAAAGCATCATTATTTGACATAAGTATAAACATACAAATATTTCAAGATTGCGCCATGTCTGTTAGCTATCACAAACACCAAAAAAATGCTGAATCCTTCACTGATCTGTGTTTAGATGCCTAGGCTTTTTTCGACATGAAGGAAGTGTAAACTTGCAAGTACAATGCTTTTCTACAGCGCTCTGTGATGCGACCATTAGGTTTTCTAGGAGCACCTAAAATAATCACACAAAAAATGTGTATATATATTTTTGAATCACATTGATACGTTTTGATCTAGTTTAGTTTGCAACAAAAGATCCAATCAATTTGGATTTGTTTGATTCAAGTATTTTGAAAAAAAAAATCATAATTTGATAAAAAAATGAGGAAAGAAACATAAAGTTTGTTGTATGACTGGAAAAAAGCCTAAGGACCAACAAAAATCACTTTACAGCAGTTAAAATGTCAATTTATCTATCGTAATCAGTGTAAGAAAGTCACAACATATTTCTTAACTTAATAAACACAGTGCTTTTTTTGGTACAAGAATACATAAAAAAAACATCAATGAACAAATTAACTGGATTTGACATCAGAATCTATTTGCGCCAATGCTTCGAAATTGTCCTAAATTTAGTCAAAAATCATATAAAAGCGTAACTTAGAACAATGGACGCGAATACTTCTATAAAAAAAAAATAAAAAAATTTTATATATAAATATGACCACTATGCCACTCATTAGCCACTCTGCATAAAAATTGGTTGTCGAAAAAAAATTATGGGTATGGCTAATATATATATATATATATAAATATATATATATATAAATAAATATATATATATATAAATAAATAAATATATATATATATATATATATATATATATATATATATATATATATATATATATATATATATATATATATATATATATATGAAAACATCAATTAATATGAATTCTCCTAATACAATTAATAATTTATTATAAGAAACTTTTGTAGTTTAAAGTTTGCAGAAAGAAGGCTATTACTAATATCCAAATTAAACCTCACTCCAATCATGACCCTAAGATTCTAAATTCAATATTTAAAGGTTACGTTCACAGGGGTTATTCTATTTGCAGTAATTTATATTTACAAGATGAAATTATTCAAATGTTTAACAAAAATGGGTAAAACATATGCCAACTTAAACAGATTGCAAACTTAATTGGAAATAAATGGTCTTTAAAAATCAACAAAATTCAATCAGACTCTCTTAACCTCCCTACTGTATCATTACCGTGGATACCATCACTGTAACCGAAACTAAGAAAAATATTTCGGAAAGCTGGTTATAGAGTAGTGTTCAAATCAAACCCAAATTTTAGAACATAACTAATGTCAAAAAACAAAACTAAACTGCCACATAATAGTCAACCCGGAACTTATTTGATTGAATGCAAATGCTCAAAGAGAAACCCAGATGATAGGTGAAACTAAACTTCAAATTAGGACTCGAACTCAGCAACATCTAAAAAGTTTAAACGAGGAGAAACATTATCAGTCTGCAATAGCCACAAGTAAAGTGGGAAAACATAAAAACAATTTAAGTTGAAACAAAAAAATTTGATCAAAAAGTGAGCGAAGTTCTTAAAATACAGAGGTTCCAATGTTCACCTTTACATGGCAGAATTAATTTAGATAACAGGTAATTTGTGAAAACTAAACTTGGACATTTTTTACATTTTAAAAACTTGGACGTTTTTTACATTTTTACCTAAAAAACTGATGACAGCAGTTAATTTTAAACTGTTTCTAACGTTACAAAAAAATCTTTTGTATAATTTTTTACGAGCTGATGATGCTGGTAACCATAATCCTGCAAAAATTTCTAATAATAAATTATTAACTAACTTTCAGACATAAAGCAAACTATTATAAAAGTTTATGTTTAGATGGAGGTAAGTAAAAACTATTGTATCCCAAATAAAGAACTAATGTATCCCAAATAAAGAACTAATATATCCCAAAATTAAGAATTAGGTTTTATCAAATAAGGTATGTATTAATTTGCATTTATTTACATCTAGTTTTATTTGCTAAATTATTGTCAACTTAACAATTACCAGCATATCTTAACAGCTAACTATATCAGCACAGCTTAGTTAAAGTATTTCTAAAAAACATTTGTTTTGGATATACTAGAGTGTTTATTTTCAAAAGTAATAGAGTACTGGGATTAAAATAAGAAGCCTTAAGAGGGACTGCTAATGACTGGTACCCATGTTACTAATGAATTACCATGTATAAAGTTGGTAAAAATGAAATAATATACCTGTCAACAATCTCTGTTTTTTGATAACTTTTTCTAAACCAATTTTATGAAATATCTAAATATATATGTTCAACACTTTATTGTTTAAAATGTTCAATTAAATCTATATTATAATGGTTTTAAAATACCATTTTGCATATACTCTATCGGACAAATAAAAATAATAATTGTTGTCATTTTAAAGTTGTTTTATTAAAATATTTTATAATTAATTAATTAAAATCTAATTAATTAAAATATTAAAATTAACCTCTAATGCTGATATGAGAGAAGCAACTGCTAAAACACATGGGTTTGAAAGTACGAATCCTCGAGCTCCTGGTATCAATGGCAAATTATCTAAACAAACAAAAAATTATTTATTTTAACTATTCTTAATTTAATTAATTTAAACTATTCTTATCATATAAACATTTATGTCTTAACATAGCAGTAAGGATGATCTTAGGGGTATGTGTCACCATGTTGTTTTGGAGGGATTTATAGTTTTTTATTTTTTTTCTCTTGTAAAATTAAGTTATGTTTTCAATTTTTTTAAAATAATTTTGAGTTATAAACTTTGTGTGAGGTGCAGACATTAAAAAAATGATGATTGTAAATTTTTTAGACAAACATTTTTAGGTAGCACAGTCATGCAATTAGAATAAATCGTAGTTATCATATTTTCATATTTTTAAAAATATTTTTACCAGTTTTTTGATAATCTTTTAAAAACTTTTAATATGTATTTTTTTTCTCATTAATATATTGCAGGTAAAAATACTAGGGGTTGCGCACGTAAATTTTGGCATTAATGCATTTTACTAGCATTAATACTAAAATTAATGCTAATAAACAAAATCTATGTTTGCATGCAAATTTATGAAAAAAAAACAAAAACACTAATTAAACATAATAAAAAATATTAATAATAAAAATATAAAAATAGTATAGACTAGAAATCATTTAATTTGTTCTTAACATTGAGAGTATAGATAATGCAAATGTACTGATGAGGGTAAAAATTTGAAATTCATAAGTAATTTCTATGTATGTCAGCAAACATGCAAGCCAGAGCAGATATAAGTAACACAGGTTTACTTAAAAATGGAAAAAACTAAAGTGGGGAAAAACCTACACACAAGAAAACAATATCAAGACAAATTTATTGAATTTTGTTTCAACAAGTTTAGCAGTTAGTTCAAAACATCCTAAAAAAGTTGCTCTTTTTAAAAGATAATCGATCAATTCGATGATGATGTCAGTGGAAAAACCCATGATATTTCAAACATATTTTAAACACATTTCGAACTCAAAGAGATTTAGGTAAAAGCAAGAATTATAATCAAGCCTGAAAGCAAAAGATACAACTAGTTCTTAAAAGTGTTTGATGAATGAAAAAGTATTAAGAAAACAGAAGATGCACAGAGAATACATGCAAAACGCTCAGGGCATCAATGAACTAGCTGTGCGACATTTTAGTGTCTTAAGTATACAAAATATTATGTGGATCTTTATAGGTAAATGAAATAACTTGTGTAGCTTTACTATTTGTTTGAGGTACACTTTTTGATCTGTTTATTTTTTAGATTTGTCAAATGCTTGAGATACCATTTTACATGAAAGAGAGACAAAAGCCTGTGATTATACTTAATGTCTAAAAAAGCAGTGAGCAGCCAATGAGACTTTAACTAAAATAAGATGAGATTCTGTTACAAATAAAGTGGATGAGAATGTTATTAAGTAAATTAGAATGTTTTTAAGTAAAATAAAATGTTATTAATGGAAAACAGCTCTAGAGATGACAAATTTTAGGCAACACCACAAAAAAGAAGAAGTAGATGACTCCCCTTGAACATTTTGCATTCTTGCCATTTTAATATATTCAAAATATTCATAATGAACAAGTTTTTAAAATTATTGAATCATTTCTTTCTAATTTTTGTTGTTGTTGTTGTAGTTAAATTTAACTACACAAGGCCTCAGAGTTTAACTCCACAAGGCTCCACTGCAGATAAGAAGGCTTGTGAAGTTGAACAAATTAAATAATCATTAAAAAAAAAAAAAATTCTATTTTATTTGTATTTTATTAGCTCAAAATTTCGAAAATACCAACAAGGAAAGGTTCGAATCACTAGGCTTCTGGAAGTATCACACTCAACCTATTTTTTAGCTGGGTAGAAAAAATTTGAGTGCAGTACTTCTAGAAGCGTGAAGTGATTTGAACCTCAGACCTGGTCTATCACTAGTTTATTACTGCATAAATTACTAGTTTATTACTGCATAAACTACTAGTTTATTACTGCATAAATTATTATTTGTAGTACTAAAATCATACTTGATTACAATCATTTCCAGGAATGTCTTGGGTACCACAAGGTAACCAATCCATATCTTTGGTCCAGAGTTGTTTTTCATCTATATTAACAATCTTACTGAAATTCTTACCTTTAAAGTGACACTATTTGCTGAAAACATAACTAAGTACTTCAGTTATAACAAAAAGTAGTCACTTACTTAAAACAGTTGATCTTAATCTTCTGCAACAGTTTGGGCCTTCAAATAGCTGGTGATTTTAATTCAAACCAAATCCAGTTGTTTACAGTTAATAATCATCGCAGTGTTGTGATATTGTTATAGTAATAAATGGCATCATAAGTGTATCTTCTTCTGGCATCATAAGTGATTCTTCTTCTCAGACTCATCTCATCTTTTACAACTGACCTCACATGGAAACCATATATGCAATCACATGTTGCATTTTTAATTGTGTTCCCCATTCCCTTACTCATAACTTTTATTTTCTATCTCAAATATCCTACAAATTTCTTGTTTGTTTCTATATGGAATACTGTTATCACAATTAGGATTGTTCTTCTAATGATGTCCTTTCTCTTCTAGACAAAATATAAAAACGTAAATGTCAATTGATTGTTGCAATTGATTGTTGCAATGTCTCTTTTTTTTTCTACAAATACTACTATGATCACTCCTCAAATAAGCTATCTTATCTTGTTCCAAAAACCAAATCTCAATCTCGCTTGACTCACCTTTCAGCAAAGTTGCATTTACTGTAATTGCCCTTTCATACTCTAAAATCATAATTAGATTTTTTTCCTCACACATCAGTATTTTGAAATTCTTTTCTGTCTTCATGTGGTCCAAACTGATACAATTCACAGCTTTTCAAGTCTTCTGTCAAAAGCTTGCTTTCTGTCGGTTTTTTTAACTCCCAACTTAAATAGTGATTACTTGCAGCCTTGTTGGGAGCAAATTTTAAAAAAAGATTGATAAATATAAATAAACTTACTATTGTCCATTTGAAAACGCTCTTTAAACTCTACACCCCACCATCCTGAATACCTTAAAATTAAAAACCAAAATATAGTACAAGAAGTTCCAAAAAATGTTTTCAAAATCTATTCGGACTTATTCATAGCTTTTAAATTAAACTAAATAAAAAAAATATGCTATTATTAGTTTAAAAATACAAGTTTTTTTTAAATTAAACATCTTTTTTTTTTAAAAAGACATTTCAAAAAAAGACAAAAATTTATCAGTTTATGTGATAAAATAAAAGAGTAATGGGACCGTGTCTGAAATCAAATCATCATAGATAAACATCATCTCATTTTTACTTGTGAAATTACATGACATATGTTAAAACAAAAAATAGTAATGGAATTACTATCTGTTCAGTACTTCATAAATAAGATAGTACTAAAGTTTAGAAGTTTTGTATTTAAGAAGTTTAATTTTGTATTTAACTGAAAATACAGGTTCTAACATTAGTGTGTATAATGGTTTAGCTTTTAAAGCTAAGCATTCATTTAGTGGGTCATTTGCTTCACCAGAGTAAGTTTTACCTCTTTGCCATATTATATCTGAAATAGATGGAAAAACTAATGATCGAAAAAACATATAGGCCATATTGATGATTAAGTGTCTGATAAACTCATGCATTAACAACCTTTGATTAAGTGTGTTCCCCTAGATTCTGAGATAGAGTTATGTGAATCCTGACTTTGTTTATGATTGTTTATTATGATTTTGCTTACAGACCAGCATGTAGTATTGTATTGAGTATTGTATTAGAATAGCTTCCATTTCTGTCAAGTATGCTAAAAAGAAACCTGAACCAGTCTGCATGATGGATAAATCTTGCTTTGAAAACTATGATGGCTTATGCAAAAAATTGAAATACCTCCACATGATTTAAACTAAAATATTATTTGACCAAAAAGATGTACCAAAGCATCTCCATAAAACAATACAGTTAGTCAAGAATCAGGATAACAAAATTTAAAAGGTTGTGCTAAAAACCTTTAGAGTAACTCCTAATAGTGCTGTCAAGAAAACTTTCACTATGGTGTATGCTACTAAAAAATGAAAAAGCTAGAGATTGGGCCCTTAATCAAATCCTGCAGGTTGAGTTTCTTAACTCTATTACAGGTTGAGTTTCCCAATTAGCTGTAATTTTAAATCAGTTACAACAAGCTTTTCAAACTGGGAATAAACTTTCTCTCACTGATCTGCCAAACAATTCCCAATCAGTAGAAAAAGCTGCAAAACTCACAGCTGAAGCTTCTAAAAACATTAATAAACCGTGATAAGGCATAACTTCATTTTGACTAAAAATCAAAGGAGATTTGAAAATAAGAAAAATACAAAAAACTCAAAATATCATATACTTTCCTCAGAGTAATTTAAAAAGTTGTATGTCACAAATATACTATTTAAATATAATTGAAAATCATTTTTTTTTAATGACTTAGGCAATCAAAACATATATAAGAAAATAATAAGAAAAAATAAAGTTTTGAAGTGTAAAATATTACAGACCAAAAATTATTTAAGGTTGGGAATAAATTAACAAGCCTTTGATCAGCATCAAGTTGGCACTAAATTTTTAACATAAAGCTTTCACTAAAACCTTTGACACTTTTAGGTATTGCCAAATGCTCATTGCCAATTGCAAGAGCAAAAAAGTAAAATTGCAGTATTAAATATATAAGTCCTTGTTTGAAATTTGCCAACTAAGCTGTAAATTTACTGACTGGCTTAATAAAATTCTTTGATTAGGGAAGAGTATGTGTGCCATACACCTTTATTTTATGATCTTGGACAAACTAATATTAAACTCTTCCATTTTTAAAGACCTTTCTATGAACATTCAAATTGAAAACTTGAAAATTATTTTATAAGTAAGGATTTTGCAAGATCTAATTTTTCAGAATATTTGAGAAGAAACACAAATAAATAAAAACTTTAAAATGATTTCCAAAATAATTAACTTCATACTGTCTAATTTTAATTCTTATATACATACTAAACAATAGTCATCATTGAACTTAATTCTGTTTTGAAAACTTTATGGTCAATTATTTTCAAAATTCTTATTGATTATGGTCAATGATTTTCATAATTCATATTGATTATGGTCAATGATTTTCAAAATTTTCATATTGATTCATAAGTCTTTTAATGTTTATAAGTTCTTATCATAAAAATTCATTTAAAATTTTAAAACAAATTTTATAATAAAAACTATTCTTAAACTATTAAACAGAAATTTTAACTGATATTTTAAAAAAAGTTTTCATTTTTTTAAATCTTTGTTACAACCCTCTCAATTGTTGTTACACCCCTCTCAATTTTTGTTATACCCATATCAATTGATGTTACAAACCTATCTAAATTCAATAACTTCAAAACATTGATAGCCAAGAATGCTGCAGGAAAAAACAAGTTGAGGGCAGTATTTTTAGAGGCATAGCAACATGGAGACATGGTGGGTTTGAACTCTTGTTTACAAAGATACTCGTGCATTAAACCACAAATTTCATTAAATACAAAAAAGAAAAAAAAAAAAAGATTTGTAGATTAGCATTAATAAAAAAGATAAGATTAATAAAAGAACTGAAAAAAAAAAAAAAAAAAAAGATTTGTAGATTAGCATTAATAAAAAAGATAAGATTGATAAAAGAACTGAAAAAAAAAAAAAAAAAAAAAATTTGTAGATTAGCATTAATAAAAAAGATAAGATTAATAAAAGAACTGAAAAAAAAAAAAAAAAAAAAGATTTGTAGATTAGCATTAATAAAAAAGATAAGATTAATAAAAGAACTGTAAAAAAAAAAAAAAAAAAAAATTTGTAGATTAGCATTAATAAAAAAGATAAGATTAATAAAAGAACTGAAAAAAAAAAAAAAAAAAAAGATTTGTAGATTAGCATTAATAAAAACTAGTAAGTAGTAAGTAGTAAGCAGTAAGCAACCTGTAATAGGCGTTGTTAGTAAATAAAATTTAAAAAAAACCGCGTATAGAAAAGCCTAGAAACTACTTTAAAATAGAAAAGCCTAGAAAATGACGTAACTCGACTAATAATAATAATAATAATATTAAATTAGCGTATTCATATTATCAGAAGATAAGATTAATAAAAGAACTGAAAAAAAAAAAAAAAAAAAAAGATTTGTAGATTAGCATTAATAAAAACGATAAGATTAATAAAAGAACTGAAAAAAAAAGAAAAAAAAAAAGTAAGTATAAGTGTAATAAAAAAACTCAATAAAAATAAATAAGTAAAATTAAACTATGATAATAAGAAAAATTAAAGATTTAAAATCAAGTAACCTTTTTAAGTCTTTGTCAAAAGCATATTTCTCATGAATAAATAGACCACCAATACCTCCTGGACCAGCATTTAAATACTAAAAAGTTTTAAAAATGTATTTAAAATGTATTTTATATATGTAAAAATGCAAATTTGCAATACCAGTACATGTAATACACACACACACACACACACACACACACACACACACACACACACACACACACTTTTTATGGAAAAAATTATGAAAAGATAATGAATTTTAAAATCACTATAAAATTCTGGTACTTTTGAGACCCAGGTTGATATACTTTTGAGGAAAAAAAATCACTGATATATGGAAACCAGTGTGTAATTAAGAGTCATGGTGGGTGACTTTTTTAAATGAAACTAATGACTTTTCAGTAACTTTTCAAACCAAAGCACATCTGTTTTTTATATTGGAAACTATATATATATATATATATATATATATATATATATATATATATATATATATATATATATATATATATATATATATATATATATATAATATATATATATATATAAAAGGGCGCCCCAATAATAATTTTTTTTTCAGACAGTTTTGTGTATCAATGTGTCCATTAAAAGCAAAAATAGGGTTTTAGAAAAATTTTAAAGTTTGACCCCCTTCCCCTTATTTTAAAAGTTGTAACGCTCTGCCGTCCACTTTTACAAAACTATTCAACATTATACAGTGATTTTAGGCTAAATATGAAAATGTAAAGTTTCAATTAAACGTGTTTTGTATCAACTTTGATGTCATCATATCTTGACACTATGTATCAGATGATACTAGTAAATATAAGTAAAATAATTAACTTAAGAACCAATTTTTTATTCCATTGTTATCAAGAATTATTAAATTATAAAATACACATTCAATGTTTGAGATAAGGAAATTTTCTATGAATGAAGTTGTTTTCTTATAAATAATTTTATATTTATATAACTTGTAATTATTTTTTTACATTTATTGGTATAATAGCACATATAAAAAATATTTAATCTGATATGAGTAATATAAAATTAAGAAAAAATAATGAGATTTTTGATAAAATTGTTGGGAAATTATTCCCTACCCTTAATGCAAAGATATTTAGTCAATTAAAAACTAATAGAGAGGTTTTATGCTATTATCTATATCTTACAAGGTTTGATTTCAAACTAACTGGAATATATTTTGGTAAGTGAAATGTATTTTTGAAAATGGCAGGGATTTAAAAAAAAAAGAAAAAAAAAATACTGTTAGAATGATACTGCATCTGACACATCTTAGAGAAATTTAAAATGTAAAAAAAAAAACAAAGTTTGTCATCTTTGTTTTGTCGAAGATTTTATGAGAAAAGATACATCCCAAGACATCACTAGTCAAATATCAGATTTTCCCTCAAGACATCACTAGTCAAATATCAGATTTTCCCTCAAGACATCACTAGTCAAATATCAGATTTTCCCTCAAGACATCACTAGTCAAATATCAGATTTTCCCTCAAGACATCACTAGTCAAATATCAGATTTTCCCTCAAGACATCACTAGTCAAATATCAGATTTTCCCTCAAGACATCACTAGTCAAATATCAGATTTTCCCTCAAGACATCACTAGTCAAATATCAGATTTTCCCTCAAGACATCACTAGTCAAATATCAGATTTTCCCTCAAGACATCACTAGTCAAATATCAGATTTTCCCTCAAGACATCACTAGTCAAATATCAGATTTTCCCTCAAGACATCACTAGTCAAATATCAGATTTTCCATAAGATCAGCGCCATAAGATAAGAGTAATACTAAAAAGAGCAAAAAGAATCACAAAAAATAAAAGCTATTGAAAATACAAAATCATGGAAAGAAAATATAAAAAAAGATTAAAAATTTGATGATAAAGACAACACTTCCTATAAAAAGGAAGAAAGTGCTATTACTAGACAGAAAAAAATAATTATGATATTAGAACACCTTAAAGTTTCTTTATTGGCTAATAGGTTGAATCTAACCAACAGAGAAAGATCTGGGATCATTTTAGCTGTTGCTGAAGCATTAGGTCACAATTTGGATGAAATATCTCAAAAAGCACAGGAAGCAGATCAAGTAATAAAATTCGACTGCAAGTTTCCAACGACATTAAAAAAACTTTTATTTTACCTACAATCACTGGGATTCAAAGTTGGTATCTGAAGTAGATAGTAAAATAGAACGCTTGACTATTGTAGTAACAGGAAAACCAAGTGTACCTGAAAGAAAATTGTTGTAGGTGTCCAGGATTCCCGATACAACTGGGAAAAGTAAGGCAACAGCAACCATAGAAGCTTTAAAAACCTGGATACTAGATTAACTAGAAAAAACACTCGTAGCGATAATTTTTGACACAACTACATCCAATTGAATGTTGTTAACTTGTTTTGCAATTACTGAATGCAAAACAAATAAATGTGCAGTGGTGCAAACCTGGGGCTTTATCATGCTAGATGGATGTGTACAATTTTGTACATATCATAAATGTTTGCTTTTGCTGAATTGGTAGAGTATGAAGAAAGTTAAATAGAGGAACTATCATAGTTTTGTAGATTTACAATGTTATTTTATGTGAAAATGTGGCTTACATGTACAAACACAAGATGCATCATTTAATGACTTGGAATTTTACAAAGAAATGCTACTTTATAAAAAAATTGACAATGATGTTGTTGTTGCTGCCCGTGAAACATTTAATTGGCATTATTGGTATTTATTCGAAGAAATGTCTCCTTCCTAACTATTTTCTAATAAGTTGTCTGATCATGATAAAGCTAAAATTGCTAAAATAATTCTTAAAAATATAAAACTGGGAACATGATTTAGGCTTTCCGTATTTTCCTATTTTGAAACCCAGTACATACAGTTTAACGGATTTAGTTAGACCAAAATCAAGCAACATTCTAAATTTATTTGGATATCAAAACAAAGATGGTGGTTGGTAAGCCCAAATCCCCAAAGTTTTGGAAAGCTAACACAAATTTTCAAGGTATGAGCATATTAAATCATTAAAATTGATAAACAATACAAAAAAAAATTCCAAAGATGAAAAATTATAAAAGAATATTTTTATATCCTTCATTTAATGTTTACATATATGTCGCTTACATTTAATGAATTTTTATATCCTTCATTTAATGTTTACATATATGTCGCTTACTGTCAAACTAAACAAAAAACTTGTAAAAATGTAAACATAGTTGATTATCAAAAATGTTTTTAGTTCTTTTCGTCAAAGTTTTAGAAAAAAAAAACAATTAAAAAAGTGTGGCAGAGAAGAAGGGCAGAGGGGGTGGAGGTGTTGTTTAGGTGGTAAGTTTTTTTTTTTTTAATATGAAATTGATTGAAAATCTAAAAATAGTTTAAAATTTAAAAAAATTAATGTCATTTTGGGACAACCTAACATGAAACTATGTCATTCAAATAGTAGAAATCCTGATTGTTGCAAACATCACAATAAATTAAAAATCAATTGTACAAAAGCATGTAATTATTGTGATTGTTGCAAACATCACAATAAATTAAAAATCAATTGTACCATTAAACTATTTTTTGTACAATTTACTATAGAATTTTTTTACTATGGACAAAACATTTTCCAAACACTTTTTAAACCTGAACATGGGTAATTTTTTGTTAAATAATAAAACATTTTCTGTTAAACAATCACTAAAAGCAAAAACAAATCTAAACTAATCTTAAGACAAGTACACAAATTTTATAAATATAAAAAATCAAAATTTAAATGTGCAATATATTAAAATATAAAATCTACAAGTTTATATCAACAACAATGAAATGTCATCCAGTTAATAAAGTCGTTAGTCACAAAAAACAAATTTGAAATAAGCAAACCTCTAGTCAAAAAACCAAAAAACTTGAACATGTTTATAAAGCATATCATAAGTCTTAATACATGTGGGCTTAATACACGAGAGGGAGATTTATAAATTTTCTAAAGGTTTTCTAAAAATTTTCAATATCCAAGCTTATTAATTTTTACATGAACAGACAAAACTGAATTTCTGACTTGGCTAGATTTTTTGATGATAAACCAAAATATTAATATTTGTCTTTTATAGACAGAATGCTTATTAGTCTTTTTCTACAACATGTTCTGTGTTTGGTTTTGTTTTCACAAAACATAACCCAATTCTAACTAGCTGATAGTACACTCGCGAGGAACTGTCAAATATCCTTAGTTATCAACCCTTCAGTGATTTGAAGAGGCTTTTTTGGTATCATGGGTTTATCAACATATTCAATTTGTTTAGGTCCATTTCCTGATTTTATAGATTTAAATTCCTCCAAAAAAATTGCAGATTATTTAAATTTTTATCTTGCACAGATCGATTGTGGTCACCTAATTTTATATTCTACCTTTTTGCGGAAACATTGACAATATTCCACCAATCTAAAACCTACTGAAAGAAGATGTTTCATGAGCTCCTTTTAGTTTCAAGCAGCTACTACTTTCTCATTAAATATTCTTAAAACATGTTGCACATTCCATAGTTGAAGTCTAGAAGGATAAACAGCAGCATGGGATATAGAAACTAATTTTATGTTATCTTTTTTATTTTGATATTGATTTTTGACATCAGAAAAAGAACAAATGGTTTTATTGATAAGAGATAACTTTTGAAACTTTTCAGAAATCTAGCCACTATATCAAAAAAAAGAAACACACTGATCATCTAATGGATAAATTTTGCAGTATTGCTGATTGATTTTTAGTAGCAATAAATCGGTATAATAATCATTATCATCATCATTTTAGCATTATTGTTTATGCAGATATGTAATACACTTAAGTTTTTTTATATAACTTTACTTAAGTTTTTATTTCATTTAGTATTTATTTCAAGCATTCTTTATGTTGTTTTTATTTTAATTTAAATAGCAAAAATAGATGAATTTTTCAAATCGCCTAACTCAACCTTAGTATGCTTTTTTTATAATATATTTCCAACTGAACAATGATTTATTTTTCACAAGTGACTTTGATCTGAGATTAACAATACATCACCAGGCGTGCCTTTTGTTAACCTATACAACAAGTGATAGTGCATTTTCCTTTAAAAACTTGACATTTTTGGAGCAGGTATTTACAACTGGATGATCTTCAAAGAATTAACTTACTTTATATGTTCAGGAAAATGAGTATTTTTATCTAACCACACTATATTATTATTTTTTCAAAATATTTTAAACAATGTATTCTAGTAACCATTGCCAAGTATTAAAAAAAAAGTTGTTTTTTTATTTTTATTTTTTGAAGACATTCATTTTTCAACAAAAGAATTAGAAATTGTTTTATAAAACCAATTTTGTGAAATCCAATCTTATTATAATTCATTATATATTTTCATTTATCTATTATAATATGGCTATGTATACTTCTATGTATACATAGCCATATTATAATATGGCTATGCAATACTTCTTGTTATCTCCTAATAAGCATACAGCTCTAAAATTTAAATTAATGGTTCTGAGTTTCTGTCCCTGTTAATACTTTTGGATCATTCCATGCCAAATGGACCAAAATTTTAGGATTTCAACATGAACCCCTCAAATTTAAATGAAACTTTCTTATTATTAATAAGAAAAGCAATTCCTGAAAATTTGTGGTTCATGAGATATGGTCATTTAAAATTTCTGATTTTTCCAAAAATAAAAATTCCGAAACAAAAACACATTTTGTTCATACTTTGAAGTTCTATATTTTAAAAACAAAATTTCAGAAAACCTTTTAGTTTTTTTTTAGTGTATGCAATTCTAGACTTACTTTAATAAAACTTTGAAATTGAATTCTCGAATGTCACATTTTTTCCATAATGGCTACCTAAAAAACCTAAAAAATTAGTCAATATACAAAACCTGCAGCTTAAGTAGTGTAAAAACTTATTTTTTCAGTTTCTATATATGGTAGGCTTCCAAATTTTTAAAAATTTACTGATAAGATACAATTCAGTAAAAAATTAAAGATTTCTAAAAATTGGCTGCAGCTACGACTTAGGAAAATGTGCCTCCACTTCAAACCACAGGTAACCTAGGATCAAAACTGGTTTTAATAACATTTTTTTTCTTCTAATTTAGTAGACTTTATTACAGTGATTTCAGAATAAAAAATAGTGGGTACTCATGAGGAGGTTACAAAAATAGTGGGTACTCATGGGGAGGTTACAAAATCAGAACAATGAAAATCACCCAAAATGTATTAAAAACAATAAAAATAAAGTTATTGTTGTACTTTAGTTTGTACTATATATTGTAATACAAAGTATGTATGAATTTAAAAGTATTTTATAATCAGTACTAGAAATAAGTCTTTAATTAAGCCTGAATTAAACTCATTTTTTAAATACCCTAGCTCTTTCCTGCCCCTATCCCCTCACCCATCCATTTACTTTTTAACTTGCACATTTTTTTCCAGAACTTAGAAAAAAATTGTAATTGAACACTTCTCCTTACATAGTGTGTCTAGTTTTATGTCTATGCCTATGTCTTATGTATGTATGAAGTGCCTTTATGCCCAAACACACCACTAAACATACACATATGAAAACTCAAATTTATTTTTAAATGTTTTCATATAAAACTTATAAGTAGCCTATTAGGTAAAAATGAAAAGAAAGACTTTTAGTCTAATTTACCTGATATATATTATCATGACTATGAGTTTTATAATATTTTTCCAATACATTCACTACTCTAGCCTTTCCCATTAATTTGACTTTTTACATTTTCAAATTTAGATTACTTATACAACAAGTTATAAGAGTTGACTTGTCAACACAATGCACAAGTTGATTATGTAATAAAGAATATTATTATGTAGTAAACAATCAATATAAACATTGAATCTTTTAAATAAATTTTGCTAAAAAACTTAAAACAAAGTGGTGTATTCCTATTGGAGGTGCTTTAGGCCTCCATTAAGTATGTGTTTGTGAGTACCACCAGAATGCAAAATATTTAGCATTAAAAATACCAGATATTTCAGATTATAAAGACCTCTTGACATTATTTGTATGCGACTTAACAAATTGAGACTGCATGCTGCACAATTGCAATAACTGCCCAGATAAACACACTAAAAGAGTACTTTCTTCCTGTGTCTATCAAACAAAACAGTAAGAGTATTTTACTGCTTTGTTTGATATACACAGCATGGAAGATATCACCTTTAATCAGTGGCAAAAAGCCAACAACATGATTTAGTTCTAGTAACTCTTCCAGTGTATGATTTTGTTAAAAAAGCTTAACAACAAATAGACCAATTAAGAGACCACCATTATATAGCCAAAAATCAAGCAGCATTTTGCAGCATCTAAAAATAAGATTACCAAGTAATCATATTTTAGTATTAATAGACTTAGCTGAAAATTACAGTTATGGATTCAAAATGCAGAACAAGGTTTCCATTAGAACAACAGTCAAGCAACATGGCATCCTTTTGGTATTTACTATATGGAAGAAAATATGATAAAATGTAAAAGTGTTTGTATCATTTCAGATCATTTGTAACACAATACAAACTCAGTTGATTGTTTCATTTATGAAGTAATAAAACAAGAGTTATTGCTTTACCTTAACAATTGCATTTATTTTAGCCATGGTGCAGGTTCACAATACAAAAGTTATAAAAACATATCTAACTTATGTCACCATGGATCAGATCACAAAGTGTCTACAGAATAGCTTCTACATTACTAGGAAAGAGTGCATGTGATGGCATTGGAGGCTCTGTCAAAAGACTTATAGCTAAGGCCTGTTTACAATCACTTACAGATCCTATCAACTTACGTGAGAAAATGTATGATTGGTGTAGACAAAATATCAAAGGAATGCATTTTATAATTGTTTTAATATTGTTGTTATTGGTGACTTTATTGCTCATCAAACTGAATGGCTTAGCTCTAACACCATTGAACCTACAGGCTCTAAAACAAATAACTTCTGCATTTCTCAGTCTTTTACTTAGATAGTTAACTCTGTGAATTGTTTTCAGACTACCTTGGCAAAATGGGACTCTTTTTGTGATATTCTTTGTGACGGTCCTTGGGCTGATGTCTTTTCTCTCCATTGATAGATGTGTCTCCAACATAGATCCTATCAACTTACGTGAGAAAATATATGATTGGTGTAGACAAAATATCAAAGGAACGCATTTTATAATTGTTTTAATATTGTTGTTATTGGTGACTTTATTGCTCATCAAACTGAATAGCTTGGCTCTAACACCATTGAACCTACAGGCTCTAAAACAAATAACTTCTGCATTTCTCAGTCTTTTACTTAGATAGTTAACTCTGTGAATTGTTTTCAGACTACCCTGGCAAAATGGGACTCTTTTTGTGATATTCTTTGTGACGGTCCTTGGGCTGATGTCTTTTCTCTCCATTAATAGATGTGTCTCCAACATAACCTCCTGGATCTAGGCAGGAATGGAAACTTTTATTTTTTCTCATCAGTTCCATGTCAAGCCTCATTCTACTCCATGGATTTTACCTTCTTTTGCAGCTACTATATCTAATCATTTTTTCACCTTTTTTAAAAGTACAACTCTCTTGAAAACAAACAGCTATTTATTATTGCAAGAAATCAATGTAAAATGATGCTGTCTGATGTTAAACACATTATTCTCAGTTCAATAAATCTTTTATTATATCTCAGAAGTTAGTTTAAAGATAAATTTCATGACATTTCATAAAACTTCTATTAAATATAACCTTGTATGTGCACCATGCTGCAAAATCAACATTCCAATCATGAAGCTTTAGCTCTACATTTCCAACAGCATGTGCTAAGTCAAAACCAACTTTACATCCCTATAAAGACAAAATAAAAAAGAAAAGTTTCAATAACTTTTTAAAAAATGAATACTATAGTTATCATTCCACATTTTCATCATGTGACATTTATCATTGACTTTTACTACACAATCACACAACCCATTTTTATCACATTTACACTAACCCTTTTAACTACATTTTTTTTAAATGAAAAATTTTAATTAACAAACAAAATAGTTTTTCTAACACCATTTTACAATTTTAGAAGTAACTAATAAACATGAATGATTTTAATGATTATTTATTGAACAATGAAAACTATTACTTTTATTCATAAAGTTTTTATATTTAAGATAAACACATAGAACCAAGATAAAAAAAACTATTAGCTAAAGCAATCAAATCTAAAAAAATTAGGACACTTTAATCACCAACAATTAAACAGAGGCTAATCAATATTTTATTTCATTTTGAATTTGTTTATATTTAAATTCTGTGTCGTTTTATTTAACTGTTTTAGATTATTATCTTTTAAAAATCTTCTTTTTTTTAGTCAAAACAACAGCTAAAAAAAAACATTTTAATTTAAAGACTTAAAAGTTACCTAGAAGAAAGTAAATAGAGTAACTAGGTTGACCACAGATGTGTATACTAATTTTAATTTAAAGACTTAAAAGTTAGCTAGAAAAAAGTAAATAAAGTAATTAGGTTGACCACAGATGTACATACTAATTTTAATCTAAAGACTTAAAAGTTAGCTAGAAGAAAGTAAATAGAGTAACTAGGTTGACCACAGATGTGACTCATTTTTTATGCTAAGATATTTCACAAATTCAAAATGAAAATCCAAAAACAAGATAAAAGATTTAGAAAAATTTGACATAACCACTAGATGATACTTATCTGAAATATAATACCTGCACAAATATTAACTATAATATATATTTATATTAATGAAAAATTCTATTAATAGTAATTAGCTATTAAAAAGATTACCTTGCGATGTCCTGCTTCTGTAATAGCTTGCAAATCAAAGAATTGTCCTGTTCTATACTGTACTCCTAAAAATAATAGTTTATAAATACATAATTAAATTTACATATTTTTAAGTTACATATAACACACAAACACTATTTTGAACCATTAAATATAAGCAAGAACAATATTTCAAAATAATTTTAAACAGTCAAAATAACTATGAAACAAAAGTTGAAATTTTAGCGAAGCTGTTATCACATCTTTATCATATATAATATTTTATTATTACTATTATAAATTTTAGCAAAGCTGCTATAAGATTCTTCATTATATATACTACTATATTATAACTATTTACCTTTACATAAGAAGATTTAATAATTGTAAAAAATTGAAATAACTATTTATTATACTATAAAATTACATTTATTATATAATAAGATTAAATTACTCTATTATATTATATATTATATCTCTATGTATATAAATTTATAACCTGTTTTGTAAATGAAAAGAGAAATCAAGAAAGCTTGAACAAGCAAAAGAAAACCAATGCAGGCTAATTTTTAAATAACTGAATTTAAATGTTTTAATGCAGGCAAATTAAAACATTTAAGTTCAAATTAAAATATTTTCAATTAAAAATAATATTATTAAAACTTTTTCATTATTATTACTTTTAACTGAAAATGTTTTAATTTAGAGTAGAATTATTTAATACTTTGCCAGAAAAACTATTGAATCTATTTCTGCTTGACAGCAACAAGGCGAGGTGAGCTTGATAACTCTTTTTGCAAGTTTTCAACATTCTCTTGTTAATTATAAAGTTAATTGAAACTGGATGTCCAAAAACAAGATTTTTTAAAAACAGAAAATAAGAAAAACAGAAATAAAAATTCAAAACGATTTAACAAAAGTAATTATAATCATTTGGAAAAAAAAAAAATACTTCAGGTATTATTAAAAAAAAAAATTTAAAAAAAAAAAAGTAATTAGGAAAAAGATTTTCAAATCTTAATAAATTTTTAACTACAAAGAAATAATAAAGGAAAGAAATAAAAGTTAATTGAGTAAAAGGCGAATCTCGCAAATTAAACACTCAAAAGCTCTATTCCAATATTGTTCATTCATTATAAACACTTTTTTATGGTTATTGTTTTAATGTTGTTAAACAATCAATAGTGTTGATGCTACAGGTATTTAGTGATAATTAAAAAAATGCTTCTTTAGGTATATTTACCAACTTTAAAATTTATCAATAAGTGGATGCAAATAAGGACCAGGAATTAGATTAAAGAAATGACATTTTAATTGCAAGATGGGGTATGATTTAAATGGGTTCAATGCAACTACATTAGATGATATTATATCAACTATATTGGATGCAGCTTATGTAAACAGTTTAAAAAGTGGTTGAAACAAAACAAAGTTGTTTTCTGACCTGGATCAAACCAGATTGGCAGGCTAAAGTTATAATTTTTTTTTTGCTTTTTTTTTGTTTTTTTGTTTTTTACTTTAAAAAACATACTTTTTAGTTGATCATAGAGCTGCATTCAAAAGTCAGCCATTATTAATTTATAGCGATTTATAGCAAAAGCCAAAAAAACTAATGGACGCCTATTTTTATAAAGGTATTTTCTAAAAGACTAAAAAATTATTTTTGTCTTTTTAAACTTTGGAGTTATCAAAATGAATTAAATATTTTTATTTATTATAAATTACATCTAAAAAACATAAATGTTTTTAACCTTATAACCCAGATAGATAAAAAAATTGTGTTAATAGGGTTGCTAAGTAAGTGACTGAAGGCTGAGTCGTGCAACAAAACCTTATACTGTTCGATTAACTCCATCACATGGACTTTTACTTTGTAATGTTGCAAAAACACATCTATCACTAAATTCTCCAGAAAACAGACATATGTTTACTATTGCTAGAAAACATTGTAAAGTAAGGTTTTGTTTGCTAAGAACTTTTCATCAATCTCATTACTTGATTCCACTAATTACATCCTACCTGATTAATTGGATCTAAAAAATCTTGAATCTAGAAGGTATAGTTCACTGGTTAAATACTAACCTAATGTCTCAACACCGAAAAAACTGAACTAATTTTTTTTTCATCTCCAAGAAAAAACAATTTCTTTAAAAATGTTGAAATCAAAATTAATAATAAAAGGCTATATCCTTTCAGAGTTATTAAATATCTTGGTGTATTAATTGATTGTAATCTTTCATGGAACTTTCATATTGATGAACTAAGCAAGAATCTCGAGTATGCTAACGGTATGCTTTCAATAATTCGTCATTATGTCGATAAAGTTAGACTCAATTCATTAGATTAATAAACTTCCATCTAATTAAATCAGATACATCGAAGTCCTTCAAAATATTTTTCATTCCAACATTTCCTGCTCTAGTAAAGTATGCTAATCTTCTTTTTGTTTTTGACTCCTTAAATAAAAACATACCATCTCCTATCACAAACTTGTTCACAGAGACTATTACATTCCTATTCGACTAGAAATATACACAATGGAAAACTAAATGTACCATCTTTTAAAAACCAGAAGTATGGTAAACATTCTATTTTTTATCAGTGCGCCTGTGAATGGAACAAGAGCCTTGGATGCATTTTGAATGAGTCCAAAAAAATATATCCTAAAATACCTTTACTCCACCTTAAACAATATTAATTTAAAAAAATTCTGAAAAACTTTTTATTCTAACTTTTTGGCATTATTATCTTTATGACTTAAATATTATTTTAATTTTCTTTTCATAATTACTACTATTATCATCAGCACTTTTTTTTTATTTTTTTTATTTGTAAAACTTGCAAATTGATTTCTACATGTTTGTTTTGATGTATATTTTATGTGCTTTGGTTTGTGTGTTTATGGTCCATGTGTTTCAGTGTGTGTCTTTGCTTATTATTACTTATTATATTAAAAATTGGTGTCACTCCTTTGATCAGATTTCTGTATGAGTGACACCATCCTAATAAATCATTAACTTATTATTATATTAATATTAGTTATTATTATTTTTTCATTGTAATTATTGTAAACATACTTATTATCACTATTATTAGAATTTGTATAATTACTTTTTTTTTTTATCTTATGTTATTATTATATATTTTTGCTATTATTACTATTATTATTATTATCACTATTATCAAAACTATTGTAAAATGATTTACAGAAAATAAATAGCTTGTTGTTGTTGTTGTTGTTGTAAAGTTGTCAAAAAAATGAGTTTGTTTCCTTTGGCATTTTTTAGGGTAAAAAAAAAAAGTGTTTTTTTAGTTTTTTTAGCATTTTTTTTTTTTTTTTTGCCTGGTGTTTTTTTGCTTTTTTTTAAGCAATTTTTAGTTTTTTTTTGACAACAGTTTCGGAATAGTTTTCCTTTATTCTAGTGTAATTTTAGTATATGATCATTAAAAGCGCAATTACAAGTATAAACACAAATTTAACTCAAACTTTTAGTAAAAAATTAAATTAGCTATAAGTAAGTTATATATCTAAGCATACTGTATGAGAATATTTATTTGTCATGCTGTACTTCCTAATAACTTAAAATATTTCTTTCTTTGAGAAATTGTATATTGTGTAGTAATTTAGTCCTACATTGTTTGTTTTTTATATTTGTAAAAAAATATATCGCTAAAACCTATACTGAACTTAATTTTGACAAAAATTTAAAAATTTGAAATTATTATTATTTATTGAGTTTCCCAGATAAACTTCATCTGATGATTCGTAATTTATTTATTCATAATTTATTTTTTTATCTGTTTTTATATATACATATATATAAAAACAGATAAACCCAAAAAAATCGGTTGCACCAGATGGGATTCACCCTTTTGTATTAAAAGAATGTGTAAATGCTTTTTCTAATCCATTGACTTTATTATTTAACAAATCAATTTATGAAGGTGTAGTACCTATTTCATGGAAGACAGCAAACATAACGCCGCTGTTTAAAAATGGCAATAGAAATAAAGTTTCAAATTATAGGCCAGTTTCCTTGACTTCAATTCTTTGTAAAACTTTAAAACGTTTAATATCTAACCAACTCTTACATTATTTAAAGATTAACAATTTATTATTTTCTAATCAGCATGGTTTTACAAAAGGCAAAAGTTGCACAACTAATTTCCTAGAGTACATGGATATAGTGACAACAGGTGTTGCAAATGGTAAATCGTTTGATATCCTTTATACTGATTTCAAGAAAGCCTTTGACAAAGTTTCACATAGGAGATTAGCAATAAAACTTGAAACATATGGCATTACATCTATGTCATTGAAGTGGATAATTTATTTTTTAACTGATAAGAAGCAAAGAGTTGTACTTGGAGAAAGTGTATCATCATGAGTAGACATAGTAAGCAGTATACCACAAGGTTCTGTGCTTGGTACAATTTTTTTTTAAATACACATCAATGATCTTCCAAGTCAACTTATAAACCAATTGTTGTTGTATGCATATGATTGTAAAGTAATAGCTGAAGTTAATAATGAAATGGATGCACATCCTTTATAAAATGACATTTTTATGTTAGAAAAATGGGTAATAAACTGGAAATTGCAATTCAATTTTGAAAAATGTAAAATCATACATATTGGTAACAAAAATAAAAATTATAAATATTTCATGAGTAACAATAATATAAAGCAAGAATTAACTACAACTAAATTGGAAAAAGATCTAGGCATATTAATCTCAAGTGACTTAAAATGGGAACCACAAATCAAAATTGCATCATCTATTGCAAACTATAAATTTGGTATAATATACAAATCATTTAAGTATAAAAATAGTGAACTAATAATGTATTTATATATGGCCGCATTTAGAATTTAAAATACAGGTATGGAGTCCTTATCTTGAAAAAGATATAAATATATTAGAAAAACTCAAAAACGAGTAACGAAATCTGTACCTGAGCTACGTCATCTATCATACAGTGAAAAACTAGAAATTAACATCTTTAAAACAATGAAGAATACAAGGAGATCTCATACAAATGTACAAATGGTATTATGATATAGAGAAAATAACTTGGAAAATACCCCCTCAACATTCGTTCTCATTAAATTCTTCTGGTCCGTGTTCAAACATTCGAGGTAATAAACATCATTTATTCACCGATAAGAAATACTTAAATCAAAATCGTGAAGGTTTTTTTACAAATCGCACAGTCAAGTTCTGGGACAATTTACCAATTGAAACAGTGGAAGTTAAAAGTCTCAACTTATTTAAAGCTAAACTAGACTTAATTGACTATCTTTAACTTTCTTGTTATGTCTATAAAAGATTTAACATGGCGTTAAATCTCAACAGTATTGTATATTATATATGAGCACGAGAGCGGAGAAAAGCTCTCCTAAAATGAACTTGGGGAGCTGTGCGAGCTGCTCCTCATTTAAATCGGTGCTCTTTTTTAATTTTAATTTTTTTTGCAACAACAATACTTTTTTAAAAACATTGCAGTATATTATGCAATTAACTTTTTTTTTTAAATGACATTGTGTTTTTTATTTTAGTTTCAACAATAATTATATTTTGGTGAGAAAAGTTATACTTTGGCGAGAGCCGCAAATTGCTCCCGTAAACCGTTTTAGGGGAGTGTGAGCAAGAGCGAGAGCTTAAGCTCTCGCTTCCCGCTGTGGCCTATATATATATATACATACATATATATATATATATATATATATATATATATATATATATATATATATATATATACATATATATATACATACATATATATATATATATATATATATATATATATATATATATATATATATATATATATACATATATATATATATACATATATATATATATATATATATATATATATATATATATATATATATATATATATATATATATATATATATATATATATATATATATATATATATATATATATATATATGTATATATATATATATGTATATATATATATATATATATATATATATATATATACATATATATATATATACATATATATATATATATATATATATATATATATATATATATATATATATATATATATATATATATATATATATATATATATATATATATATATATATATATATATATATATATATATATATGTAGATATATATATATATAAAAGAATATGTATAAATATATACACACACTTACACAATGCATACTTAAATAAACATACTTTCATAAAAAAATATACCTGAAAATAATATCAATGCAATGGAATCACCTTGCTCATAAATAAGTTGAAGTATATCTTCTGTTCGCAGCAAGTACTCACCCTAAAAAAAACCAATTTAAAATATTGTGTTCATTTATCTTGAAAAAGTTAATGAAAATAAAAAGTGAAAAATATTACAAAATAAAAATATATATATTTTTTAATTTATTTTGGTTAAAAACATTTTACAGATTTTTTTAATTATTCAGTAATCAAAGTTGATTGATTTAAATTATTTATAAATCAGAATTAATTTTAAAACCAATGGTTTGCTACAATTTAAAAAAATAATGGTTCACACAAATAAATTTGTAACAAAACAAATATGATTAATGAAACTTTTTAATGAGACGTCACCTTTAATTAAGTATTTGATTCAAATCTACTTATATAAAATATAAAAACATAAACAGTTCATCCAGAGCCTCAAAATCTTGCTAATTTGCAATGGAAACAACTACATGCCTTTACTTATGGCTCTGTTTATCTCAAGGAGCAATACACCAAATGTCAAGATGTTACCTTATGTATGACTACTATAGACAGGTTTTTGAAGACTTTAAAACAAATTTATTCTTAAAAAGCCTAGTTTCCTTTGTCTCTGCTATAATAACGACACTATCAAAAAAAGTATTGGCTACAACTGTCCAAGCGCTCTGTCCAAAAGATGAACAATGTCAAAAAAGACCCACTCAAAGATTCTCAAATTCTATCACTTCTTACTTACTTAGACCTAAAAAGTAATTTTTATTTTACTGTCTTTTTATATTTATGATGCAAGTATGAATAATAGACAAATATAAAAACGTCACAATAAATACATGATTTTGAGCTGGGTTGTAAAATCAAAGTTTGTGTTGAATGTAGTGGCTTTTCAATAGATTTTAGACAGAAGTTGAAATATAACACTTGGCAGCCAATAACAAAAACTGTACTATGTAGTATTATTTGATCATAAGTTTTTTAAACCTCATTCATTTTCATATTATTTTTATCAAAGTTTCTGGATTTAAACTCGCAACTATAATTCCTTGGTCTTAAATTTATAATTTATTCAACTTTACAATTCAAATGATGATTTTTATTTTTTCTATATCAGTTATTTTTTCAAGCAACAAATTCTTGACACATCTGTTTCTGTTGCTGTTCTAGACTTGCTCTAAATATGTCCTTCAGCTAGAGACTTCAATTCTTCAAAAAAATAAAGCTGAACATCTTTAAAAAAAAAGATGTTCAGCTTATTTGCCACAACTAAAAGTTATAAAGACTATAATAACAACACACACATAAAGCAATGAAAAAACTCCACATTCTCAAATTTTATATTATTATTAAATGCTATACATGTAACCAAAATATGGAAAAAAATCTTGACTTCGAACGAGGTTTCAAAAAGACTTTAGAAGTTGTAGGTTATTTATCCAGTAAGTAATTAAGAGGGTTTTTTCATGCATTAGATATAGATATATGAGGAGAGGTTAAGGCTATCGCTCTCAACGATTGTAAAGATTTTGATAAAGTTTAGCATGCTGGTCATCTCCATAAGCTCTCTTTTTACCGTGTATCAGGTAATAACTTTAAGATTGTTGAATTTTTTCTTTGCAATCGTAGTACAGAGGTCGTCCTCGACAAACAGAACTTTTTTTTATTTCCTATAATTTTAGGAGTTCCTCATAATTTGATCTTTGGCCCTATACTTTTTTTTGGTTTACATTAATGATCTTCCAGAATTTCTCACATCTAAGGTATCATTCTTGCTGATAATACTACCATTTATTCTTGTCTTGATAAAAAGCCAACATTCTCTGATTGCTTGGAGGGGGCATTTAAGGTTGAAAAGGATCTTACTTCTGCTACAGCATGGGGCTCTCAGTGGCTGGTGGTCAGATAAAACTCAATTTGTTTCAGCTAACTGTTATTGCCACATTCAGATCTTCTTATATTTATAAACGGTAATTTACTCGCTGAGTCATCTACCCATTATCTTCTAAGATTAACTCTTACTCTTACTAAACCATATACCAAATTTGTTGCTAAATTTTATCTGCTGAGGTTGCATCTCTTTTTTGTGCTTACCATTTTTTTACTTTGGATTTAATTTAAGTATCTATAAATCTTAAACCTAACCTCTTTTGGAATACTGTAGACATATCTGGAGCGGATCTTCAAATATTGCCCTTTCTCTTTTAGACAAGGTGCAAAAATGCATCCTAAACATAGTTGCTGCTCTTTTATATATATATATATATATATATATATATATATATATATATATATATATATATATATATATATATATATATATATATATATATATATATATATATATATATATATATATATATATATTGTTTTTGGCCAAAAAATCTTTCACAAGTATAGATGGGTGAGCAGAAGCATTATCGTGATGCAATAGCCATGAATTGTTTTTCCACAATTTTGGACATTTTCTTCTCGCAAACGGCGCATAACTTCAAGATAATACTGTTTATTGACCGTACAACCATATGATAAGAACTCCTGATGCACCACACCATGGTAATCGAAGAAAACAGTGAGTAAAACTTTGACATTTGATCAAACTTGGCGTGCTTTTTTCGGTCTTGGCTCACCTGGGCTCTTCCATTGGGACAATTGGGCTTTGGTTTCGATATCATAACCATATAACCATAATTCGTATGTATGTTTGTGTTCTCTCTGAACCTCTGGTGAGGTGTTATTTACCTTACCTTTATTTGGGATGGTGTCCATGGATGTTGCATAGATTGTGTCCCTGTTATTGCTTTTAGTGTGTATTATTAAGACCTAATAATTAAAGTTACAACTTTGAATTGATCAGCAGGACTGATACAACTGCATAGCTCATTGTATGTGTGTATATATATATATATATATATATATATATATATATATATATATATATACATTATGTGTGTATGTATATATATATATATATATATATATATATATATATATATATATATATATATATATACATACACACACAAGAAAAGAAGGACAGTACATATTTATGAGTTCCATGTAAAATTGTTGATGGACAGCATCAGAAATCGTCACTGATTTCAATGAACACTGTGTAACGGAAATCAGCACTACAAACGTTAAACAATGTTTACATGGTGTCTGTCTCAGAGGTTGAGAACCAATGGAAATAGTTTCAAAATATTTGGAATGCTGTTGATGGCCATTATCTACAACTACTGTGTAACAGACCCCCTTGTGTTTGCCAGGCTATCATCAAACCTAGAGACGGTCACATTGATGAAAATGAAATTTAATTTAATCATAATTATTGATATTAAGTAAGTTATAAATTATTCAAATAAATTTATTTATTTTTGTAATTGTTGCCTTTTTAAAATACCAGAAAAGTCTAACTTCATTATAAAATCTAACTTTAATTAAGTTCATTATAAAATCTAACCTTTTGCTATATGCAATTAAACTTAATAGAAGGTAGTGTATATACATATGCATAATAAAAGATAGATATACATATGCATAATAAAAGATATATATATATATCGGGTGGACACTTTAAATTGAGTCATTCCGGTCAACTTTAAATTGAGATTTCTTTAAAAACAAAAATGCTTTTTATTTATTTATTTTCTCAATTAAACCTTACTTCCTTATATTAAATGGTGTTAACAAATTTTTGTTTACAAATTAATGATTTGCAAAATGTTTTAGAAACAAATTGAGGTGCGTAAAAAAGTTGTGAGTTTTTTTTGCCAAAATCCATCGACTTCCTATTGCTTGATTGCTAAACGCACAAATGTTCTAAAATCTACAGTCATAGATATTATAAACAAGTTCAAGTCTACTCAAAGCTTTGAAAGAAAACTTGGAAGTGGAAGAAAAAAAACTTTCCATAAATCCAAAAAGGTAAAGTCGATTTTACATTTAATAGCAAAAAATCCAAACCAGTCACAGCGAGATCTAGCAAGAAAACTCAAGACTTTTTGTTCTTATATCAAAAAAGTACTTAAAAATGCTGGAATTAAAGCATTTCATAAAAAAAATACACCTAAGAGAAGCTTAAATTGTGAAATTAAAGGAATTCCATGCGCAAAGAAGTTGGTTAAAATAATGGCGGATAAAAATATGTGCATAATTGAAGACAATGAGTTTTACAATGAAAACAAAGATAAACCTGTCGATGATCAATTTAAATATATTCGACGAGAAAAAATTGCATCAAAGTTCCTTGTGTGGCAAGCAATTTGTAGCTGTGGTATGCAGTCCTTTTGTTTTGTCACTAAAAAGACCTTGACTGCCAATCCCTACATCAAAGAATGCCGATCCCTACAAAAAGAATGTCTCTTTTGGCCCGATCTTGCTGCCTCTCACTATTCTAAAAAAGTTCTACAGTGGTGCAAAGATAATAATATGAAAATTGTTCCTAAAGATGCAAATCCTCCAAATTGTCCTGAAGAGCGCAAGATTGAAGATTTTTGGGCAATAGTTTAAGGAGTTCTTCGTAAGACAGGTGAAATAACAAATAATAAAAAGAACTTCCAAAAAAAGTGGATTAATGCCACGAATATGGCGAAAAAAGAAAAAATCTGTGAAATGATGGCATCAACCCGCTATAAAGTTTGATTTCTTGCCAAACAACCCATCAAGCCCTTTAAAATTAAGTTGAAACTCTAATTTATGTAAACACATTTAATAATAAAAAATTGAAATAAAAAGCATTAAAATTATAAATTTGAGTTGCTGTGTAACGTTTGTTTTCCTGCTAAAATTTTTCGCTATTAAAAGTGTTTATAAAATTAATCCTAGAAAAAGTTTGAAAGGACTTAAAAAAAATACATATTTATTTAAATGTAATTATGTATAAAATTCTTTAATAATTTGAATAAAATGGGTTTATTGTTAACATAATTATTTAAAAACTTTGGCATATAAAATTCACCGAATGGTCACACGCGAGCAGTGAACGCCTGAGGGAAGAAATGAAATACATTAGAATAAATGAGAATTATTTATTAAACAAAGCATATTTTGACAGTTTTCAAGACAAAAATAAAGATT